AATGGTACTGTAGCCATCAGGGAACTGTCGGATAAAACTGTCAGCATTGGCCAGCCCAGCAGCCTCGTACACCTGTGACAAAGATTAATTAAATTAGTAATACCAAACTAGTGACGGGTAATACAAACAAAGTAACATAGAATCAAACCAGCTACCTTCTGATTACAAGGCGAGTACAGCAGTACTATAATCACTCAACCACCAAGCTGACATAAAAATCGTCGTCGTCGTCGTCGTCGTCGTCGTCGTCGTCGTCGTCTTCTACATTTTTACATTTTACATATTTACATGTTACATTTTAACATTTTTTATGATCAAGTCTTTCCCTTGCAACTGACCTGGTAGCATCGTCTAGTATGAGGATGGATGGGATTTTCAGTAGAGCGCGGGCGATAGCTATCCTCTGTTTCTGGCCCCCAGACACGGTAACTCCTCTCTCCCCCAGAATGGTACTGTAGCCATCAGGGAACTGTCGGATAAAACTGTCAGCATTGGCCAGCCCAGCAGCCTCGTACACCTGTGACAAAGATTAATTAAATTAGTAATACCAAACTAGTGACGGGTAATACAAACAAAGTAACATAGAATCAAACCAGCTACCTTCTGATTACAGCAGTACTATAATCACTCAACCACCAAGCTGACATAAAAACTTTTACTCATACCAGTACTCATAACGTTTTTAATATGTTACATTTTAACAAGTTACCTTTAAGCATGTTACATTTTAAAAGGTTACAATTTTACATGTTACATTTTTACATGTTACATTTTAATATGTTACATTTTAACATGTTACATTTAAGCATGTTACATTTTAAAATGTTACATTTTAACACGTTACATTTTAACATGTTACATTTTAACTTCTTATATTTCCACATGTTACATTTTTACATGTTACATTTTAACATGTTTTACGATCAAGTCATTCCCTTGCAACTGACCTGGTAGCCTCGTCTAGTATGAGGATGGATGGGATTTTCAGTAGAGCGCGGGCGATAGCTATCCTCTGTTTCTGGCCCCCAGACACGGTAACTCCTCTCTCCCCCAGAATGGTACTGTAGCCATCAGGGAACTGTCGGATAAAACTGTCAGCATTGGCCAGCCCAGCAGCCTCGTACACCTGTGACAAAGATTAATTAAATTAGTAATACCAAACTAGTGACGGGTAATACAAACAAAGTAACATAGAATCAAACCAGCTACCTTCTGATTACAGCAGTACTATAATCACTCAACCACCAAGCTGACATAAAAACTTTTACTCATACCAGTACTCATAACGTTTTTAATATGTTACATTTTAACAAGTTACCTTTAAGCATGTTACATTTTAAAAGGTTACAATTTTACATGTTACATTTTTACATGTTACATTTTAATATGTTACATTTTAACACGTTACATTTAAGCATGTTACATTTTAAAATGTTACATTTTAACACGTTACATTTTAACATGTTACATTTTAACTTCTTATATTTCCACATGTTACATTTTTACATGTTACATTTTAACATGTTTTACGATCAAGTCATTCCCTTGCAACTGACCTGGTAGCCTCGTCTAGTATGAGGATGGATGGGATTTTCAGTAGAGCGCGGGCGATAGCTATCCTCTGTTTCTGGCCCCCAGACACGGTAACTCCTCTCTCCCCCAGAATGGTACTGTAGCCATCAGGGAACTGTCGGATAAAACTGTCAGCATTGGCCAGCCCAGCAGCCTCGTACACCTGTGACAAAGATTAATTAAATTAGTAATACCAAACTAGTGACGGGTAATACAAACAAAGTAACATAGAATCAAACCAGCTACCTTCTGATTACAAGGCGAGTACAGCAGTACTATAATCACTCAACCACCAAGCTGACATAAAAATCGTCGTCGTCGTCGTCGTCGTCGTCGTCGTCGTCGTCGTCGTCGTCGTCGTCGTCGTCGTCGTCGTCGTCGTCGTCGTCTTCTACATTTTTACATTTTACATATTTACATGTTACATTTTAACATTTTTTATGATCAAGTCTTTCCCTTGCAACTGACCTGGTAGCATCGTCTAGTATGAGGATGGATGGGATTTTCAGTAGAGCGCGGGCGATAGCTATCCTCTGTTTCTGGCCCCCAGACACGGTAACTCCTCTCTCCCCCAGAATGGTACTGTAGCCATCAGGGAACTGTCGGATAAAACTGTCAGCATTGGCCAGCCCAGCAGCCTCGTACACCTGTGACAAAGATTAATTAAATTAGTAATACCAAACTAGTGACGGGTAATACAAACAAAGTAACATAGAATCAAACCAGCTACCTTCTGATTACAGCAGTACTATAATCACTCAACCACCAAGCTGACATAAAAACTTTTACTCATACCAGTACTCATAACGTTTTTAATATGTTACATTTTAACAAGTTACCTTTAAGCATGTTACATTTTAAAAGGTTACAATTTTACATGTTACATTTTTACATGTTACATTTTAATATGTTACATTTTAACATGTTACATTTAAGCATGTTACATTTTAAAATGTTACATTTTAACACGTTACATTTTAACATGTTACATTTTAACTTCTTATATTTCCACATGTTACATTTTTACATGTTACATTTTAACATGTTTTACGATCAAGTCATTCCCTTGCAACTGACCTGGTAGCCTCGTCTAGTATGAGGATGGATGGGATTTTCAGTAGAGCGCGGGCGATAGCTATCCTCTGTTTCTGGCCCCCAGACACGGTAACTCCTCTCTCCCCCAGAATGGTACTGTAGCCATCAGGGAACTGTCGGATAAAACTGTCAGCATTGGCCAGCCCAGCAGCCTCGTACACCTGTGACAAAGATTAATTAAATTAGTAATACCAAACTAGTGACGGGTAATACAAACAAAGTAACATAGAATCAAACCAGCTACCTTCTGATTACAGCAGTACTATAATCACTCAACCACCAAGCTGACATAAAAACTTTTACTCATACCAGTACTCATAACGTTTTTAATATGTTACATTTTAACAAGTTACCTTTAAGCATGTTACATTTTAAAAGGTTACAATTTTACATGTTACATTTTTACATGTTACATTTTAATATGTTACATTTTAACACGTTACATTTAAGCATGTTACATTTTAAAATGTTACATTTTAACACGTTACATTTTAACATGTTACATTTTAACTTCTTATATTTCCACATGTTACATTTTTACATGTTACATTTTAACATGTTTTACGATCAAGTCATTCCCTTGCAACTGACCTGGTAGCCTCGTCTAGTATGAGGATGGATGGGATTTTCAGTAGAGCGCGGGCGATAGCTATCCTCTGTTTCTGGCCCCCAGACACGGTAACTCCTCTCTCCCCCAGAATGGTACTGTAGCCATCAGGGAACTGTCGGATAAAACTGTCAGCATTGGCCAGCCCAGCAGCCTCGTACACCTGTGACAAAGATTAATTAAATTAGTAATACCAAACTAGTGACGGGTAATACAAACAAAGTAACATAGAATCAAACCAGCTACCTTCTGATTACAAGGCGAGTACAGCAGTACTATAATCACTCAACCACCAAGCTGACATAAAAATCGTCGTCGTCGTCGTCGTCGTCGTCGTCGTCGTCGTCGTCTTCTACATTTTTACATTTTACATATTTACATGTTACATTTTAACATTTTTTATGATCAAGTCTTTCCCTTGCAACTGACCTGGTAGCATCGTCTAGTATGAGGATGGATGGGATTTTCAGTAGAGCGCGGGCGATAGCTATCCTCTGTTTCTGGCCCCCAGACACGGTAACTCCTCTCTCCCCCAGAATGGTACTGTAGCCATCAGGGAACTGTCGGATAAAACTGTCAGCATTGGCCAGCCCAGCAGCCTCGTACACCTGTGACAAAGATTAATTAAATTAGTAATACCAAACTAGTGACGGGTAATACAAACAAAGTAACATAGAATCAAACCAGCTACCTTCTGATTACAGCAGTACTATAATCACTCAACCACCAAGCTGACATAAAAACTTTTACTCATACCAGTACTCATAACGTTTTTAATATGTGTGACGGTCCCAAAAATTCCCAGACCCATTACATATCAGTTGGGGAGGTTTTGGTTACACCCTCAGGAAACCCTGTCTTTACCGTCACAGAAGCTTTGCTTTATTTCAAATATAAAAAGAGGGTATGTAATATTGGACTGTTAACCTCCCAGCTTTTTGCGTCAACCAGTTGCCTCACCATGGAATATTCCGTCAGCGTGGCTCAGCGCTGGGTCAGGCCAACGTTCTCGGAAAGTGTAACGCGCATGGCTGGAATTTGCTGATACAGCTCAGCAAGTCGCTCGATGAAATCAGTTAATGCGCAGCTATAGTTTGCCTAATGCCCTGATGAATCGTTAGGCAGCAGCACTGTCTGGGGCTTGCACTGACGTCACGCGGTATAGCCGCAACGCGATTGGCTGGTTCCCCTCCACGCCCAACTCTGGGCTACGGGCAGAGCGCACTCAGTTCAGGGAGTCTTAAATTCTAAATCCAATTCAATCGGTCATGTAAATTCCGCGTCGCGTCGCCTTTCCCCATAGCCTCCTCGGAAGGCTATGTCCCCCAATAACTTATTTGTGTTGTAAACTAAATTTATAGGATTATACAGCAAGTCGGAAGCTAAACACTTCACTATTGTTTTTATCATAAATTAAGTAAATAAATTATTATTCGTAGTGCATTTTCGTTGTTTCATTCGGCTACCTGTCACATTTGGTGTCAGGTTCGGGGTTAGGTTCAAGAGTCCTAAATTAATTGGCTATTTAATTATTATCGCGCAATCAATTACTTAGTCAGAAACCATAATTTCGTTGTAATTCCCTGTCGCGACTCGCTCAGTCCGTATCAGTTCTGCTCCCGTCGTTTTACGTGTTTTAATTCGTTTCGCTCCCACTGCGACTGCAATGAGTCGTCGTCGTCTGCAGTTTAAAACTTCGAACTTCAGCTTCAGAGACTTCGATCGACTTCAGCTTCTGGCGTCTGCTCTGTTGCGGAAAGGTTAGATGTGCGTAAAAAGGTCAGGTGAGTTTATAAATTAACTAACTGGCTTGAATAGTTTTATTTGTTTTTCAAAAATATTTAATTGGGAAGCTTACCAAGGCTAAAGTTTTTCTTAAATAGTTAATTTGTTGTGTAATCAAGGGGTGAAATAATTGAAGTTGTTGGCTTAAGTAGGATAGGCCTTACGTTGTTCCTGTGATTACTGTCTGAGCTTAAGTTAACAGTTGACTAGGCTAATTTTTTTGATGGTTTAACCTAGTAGCCTATTCCTGTAAAGTTTAGGCCGTGCCTTGGTGAAGTTTAACTTATTGGGGGAAGGCGGAATAATTAGATTTAATTGGAAAAATTAATTGGAGATAAACTAAGTTAAGTTTTGGTAACTCGTATAAAGTTAGGCTATGAATATTTCAATTAAGTGTTCAGAGAAGCTGAGGCAATAATTTTGACTTAAGGAATTGTTTTCTATTATAATGACCGACCGTGAACTTAAATTATTTTGATTAATGCCTACCGGTACAGCTAAAATTATAATAAATTAATGTTGGAATATAGCCTTAGCCTAAGGTAAGAGTAAGTTAAAGGAAAGTAGGGAACATTTTAACTAATTATCGTGGAATATGTAATTTTGAAGCTTACTCAAGAACTTTTGAAGTGTATGGTTACTCGTAAAACTAAATTTATTTTAGCTGCGTTCCAATGATGGCCATCATGTAGGCCTAGCCTACTGTGACAGGACATGTTCAGATTCTATGTGGTTAGCTTGTTCATTTTAAACTGTTTAAGGTAACATATTTTGTTATTCGGGACAGCTCATTGGGTCGTTCAGTAAACGCCAGTGACTGTTAAATGTCCTTTGAAGTGGTCAATAAATAGAATTATGAAACAGAATATATAATTACTGTTGTCTTTGAATGATTAGCAGTGTAGTCCATGGGAATTATTGATTAAAAAATTATTAGTTTAAATGATGTCAGCATTACTGGCCTACTGACGGGCTTGAAGGTTGGGAAATGCCTTGTCTCTTTTGACATAATTTTGTTCTCTAAAGACTTGCCTTCTCACCTCAAAGCCATCCGGGATGTTGCTTGCCTCTGTATCGATGCCTTGCCATTTCACTCGGGTATGGAAAATAAAGTAGGCCTAAGTAGGAAAAAATTTGTTTTTTTCCGTGATGACTGTGCACGTTTATAAATAAATTACTTTTAAAGTAAGGATATCTAGAAGATGGTTTATTGTGATATTTTAGGTACGGTAGCTGAATAAATTCCAACTTTTCTTTTACCAGACTTAACAAGTTTTGTGGAACGCAGCGAGAAATAATTTGAGTTTGTATGATTCGTAATGTGATTTGGTCTCTAAAATTTGTGTATATTATGTAAAGTGGACAACTAATGAGTAACAAGTAAAAAAAAAGTAAAAACGAAAAACGTAAAAAAAATTGAAGCAACCCTTGGGGTTTTGCTAGAAACTTGGGTTAGCGTGTAAAGGCCGCGGCGTGAGCCAACAAACCTAGCCGCGATTTGTTAAGATATTACGTGGTTCAGCAGGTGCTCTGTTGGAACTGTTAGGGGTTCGCAGACCCTCTGATGAGACGTCGGTGTGTACACAAAGTAGGTGTGCAATGTGGAAGGACTAAAAAGAGGAGTTTAAATTTTTTTTTTTGTGTAGGTATCCAGGAGAGGGATTAATTTTTGAGTTTTTTTTAAGCATTGCAAGAGGTTTTTACCATTCGTTAAACGCTTGGTCCAAGTCTGAGTGAGTATACTGAGTAATTAGAGATGATTGTGTTTAGTTGCCATTCCTTTTTTTTCATACTGAAATAATGTATTGATCTTTATTTATTTACATTGGAATAATTAGAAATTGGTTATCGGATTTATAAATAAAAACCGAAATTTGAAGAACTGTTGTTTAGCTGCTATCATCAGCTAGCACTATTGAATGATTGAAGTCAGTTCAAAACTCATATGTGATGTTACAGAGGTAAACTATTAATTTGATAGTTTTGACTCACGAGCTGAAAATATAAATTTGTAATTCATTCCGTATTTGTAAAAAAAAAAATAATAATAAATTGTTTTTGAGATGAATTGCTTTTATCTACAGAAGAAACATTAGTTTCCGATATGTTGAGTTTCTGATGAGCCGAGGGAAATGTCACAATTTTCTCACAATGTGTGTTCGGTATGGGGGAAGATTTGGAGTGTATCTTCTTTTGCTCCTGCTTTGGACAGGACCTTAACCTAAATAAATCCGGTACGGTAACATTTGTGATTAAGCCGTGGCTAACCCCTCGCCAGAGGATTCTGTGGTGTATAGTTAGAAGAATACAAATACCGTTGTCCTTGTTTCTTGTTAAGGGAAAATAAATCAAGCAATGCTGATGATAGTAGGAGGAAAATGTTTTTTTATAAAAATTCAATGCTGGAGGTGAATTAGTAGCCTACCAATATATTGATGTGCATAGGATAACCCTTTTTTTTTGTTTGTTATACAGCCTACAGTTTTGTATAGGAGTGTGAGCCAGTCTCTTGCTGTCTCCGTTGATCGAGGCACATGGAGTCTCCTTGCGGTGGACCAGCTGTTGAAGCAGTAGTTCAACATTGTCCCTGCGGGTGGAATTGGTTTGAGTAGTTGTATAAGTATAATAATAGTAAGTGATTACAAATTATTGGCCCTGAGCTAAGTTGGGGTAAAGTATACTCGCTTTAGCCTTGTTTTTAAATTCTTTTATTTTTTTATTTTTTGTTATTAAATTAATTAAATGAAAATTTAGACTCCTCTGGAAAAAAGTAAAAAAAAAAAAAAGATAAGAATTAAGAAGATATAGTTAATTTGTACATTGTAGGCATGCCCCATTTAGTTATGGGCTTCCTTTGATTGTGCATGGTTGTAGTTTGGTCTGAGCCCTAAGGTGGCTGGCCGTGATTGAGATTGCCTTGCTTGTCCGTACAGTATTACAATACACACGGCGACATGGTGAATCTCCTGTGGACTAGGTCCGGATTTTGTTGAAGCGCTGTTTTTTTTTTTGTAGTTTGAGATCTCTGATCAGAACCATTAACGATTTGGTTGCTAATAGTTACAGAATGCCTGCCTGATTAATCAGCAGCCTTCTGTTGTAAGCGCTAGCCGTGTTGTTTTTTCTTTTCGGTGGGGGACTGTTCGTGAAGTTGAAGTCGCATGATATGCCTGAGCTCCAGCAAGGACTCTGCATTATGTGAACTGATGAGTTTTGGCCTGCTGTTCGTTCGGCAGCAATAAGCTCGTGTAGGACTCTAATAGTCCTGGTTATTTTTATTTTATTTTTTTTTTGTTTTGAGAAATTTTTCTGTCATTAGTCCCTCCCGATGACATGCGAGAGATAGAGTGCATATTTTTGCTCGTGCCTGCGTATGTCTGCCCAACGAAACCCGTTGGCAACTTCCAGCTGCACTGGAGCCGGGAAGGGGAGAGGGAAGGAGAGCCTCCCCTGGTGTCAATTTCATTTTGACTGTTGCTCGCGCCTGCGTACGCCTGCCTGACAGAACCTGTTAGCCGCTACCAGCTGCGCTTGAGCTGTAGAGGGGGGTGGAGCTAAGAGCCTCCCTGGTCATGGCCATGACGTGTGTATTTGTGATGTAATGTTTAAAGGACGTCCTTGAGAAGTAGCCAAAATAATTACCAGCTTGGCACTCTGAGCGTAAAGGAGTATTCTTTTGAGAATGCCTTCCAGCTCCTCAGATTCCATCATTTGCAACTAAAGAATGTTGAAAAGTTGAAACTGGGTGGCCTCTCCATCTCGATTATTCTAATAGCTGTTTTCTCGTTTACAGGTGGAGACGCAGAGCAGCCCTGTGGCTGCGAGCCGCTGTTGCGAGAACTACACAAGATCGGGAAGAGGCACCAGCAGTAAGGGAGATGGAACCGGAGCGCTCCAGTGTAGAGGTCAGGCCTTCCGCGGAGGATAGACAGGGCATGCCCAGCCTGCAACTTGTTGCTGAACTAAACCGCCCCCGATTGCAGTCACATTGGGTGGCGTAAGTTGACTAGTGCAGTGCGCGCAATAAGTAAGTGGCAGGACACTTTTAAATGGAGCTCCAGACATTAATAGATTCTTCTTTTTCTATTATTATATAATTAGTATTCTTTCTGTGTAACTATTTCATAAGTATTTTATTAATGTACTGTTAAAAAGGACTATCGGTTTTACAAGTAGGCGCCATGGGACAATGCACACTCGTGTATGATGTTTGGTAGTAGCCGATGCCTGTAGTGCTGCTATAAATTAATTGATTTTCTATTTTTATTCACACCATTGGGCACTGGTGTGTCCTTATTGTTAGTTTGTTATTGTTAGTTATTGTTAGTCCTGATTGGTTAGTTGATTGGGTTGGCTGTGCTTGTTAAAGTTTGATCCGAAATTTTGCTTTACAGCTATTTATTGGAGAAATTTAAATTCTAAATGAAGAAGATGTACTCCTCAGTGAGTGTGTATGGCCCAAGAGTCAAGGCAACACGGGAAAGTAAGCAGCTGCAGTCCTACTAACTTCCTAATTACCCTTATCCTTCCCTACCATCTAATAATGCTGGACCGTACCCTTGGCCTTGGACTATGATATTTTCTTATCTGATAAAAATTATAATCAAATTTATTTCAATTCAAATAACAAAGGTAACTCTATTTTGGACATTGTCAAGCCAATGTGCCTTGTTTGGAGGTAGGCCGGCACCTTCAACCTCGGTAGCCAGACCCATGACCCAATAAATTGTCATTTAACGGATTTTGCTATTTATTATTATTTATTTATTAGATTTATTTATTTCATTATTTGTTTAGGTAAGTGTTATTTATTTAGATAGGTATCTTTGGCTGGCTTCTTGTTTTAACCATGGAAAGGTTAAGTTGAAGGAATGTAAAAGTTAATTAGAGTTGAAGTAAAAGTGAAAAAAGTGAGTTTTAGGAGTTATCAGTTTCCATGTTTAATTAGGAGTTCATGATTGCTACTGAATTTATTTGCATGAACTCATAAGTATTATTCTTTCTTTTATATAATATGTTCATTAGATTCCAACATGTTGGAAATCCTTGAAAGTTAGCAGAGGGATTATGTTATAGTAGTTTTTTTTCCATTGTTGTTGAAAATTAGTGCCATGTTCTGCTCTACAGTGCTTGCTTCGTTTCGGCATTTGGTACATTATATTCAGTATTAACGAAACTAAATTAAGTTGAAAATTGTAAACGCCCCTTATATTCGGCTGAGAAATATTTGCTGCAAACCGTATTCGCTTTACATTCAAATTTATCAACCAACTTGTAATACATCCCGTGGTATTACCGGGGGAGAATTTATAGATTAGGCTGTGACTGCCTAAATTCACTGTTACCTTTATATTTCTAAGGACTACTAACCAGCATGGCAGGAGCGCTTGCTCTGAATCATTACCGAAGATAAGTGGGTCTGTGTATTCTCTCATCCGAGGGAAGCAAGCATTGTCCGAGATGAACATAACTATTATTGTTTGTTTAAGCTATTGATTTATAACTGTATTAATGCAGTAGCAATAATCGTTTAAATGTTACTTGATGAGGATAGCTTTGAATCTGTTTGTTTGATTTTTATTCTTGAAATTTAAAATTAATGTATTGTTACTAAAATGTTTTGTTAGTGTTAGGTCCAGTTATGAAGGATTTTATTTATTGTAGTTTTTTTGTGGTTTATTGTTTCTCGTTCTTTTGCTTCAACTTGCTGTTTAAATTGAATAACTTTATATAGTGTAAGGATTGTAGGTTGAATGTTAGTGTTTTTGGAATCCAGAGTTATGGATGTAATTAATTAAGTTTATAGCATTAACGGGGAAAGGCGATGACGTTAAAGAGTTCAATTATATTATTTTCTTTCTATGGGTCTTTCGTTTGGAAAATTTAAATTCATTAAGTTACATTTTACGAGGCGTTTAAATTGGCCTTGGTGTGGCGTTGGGCTTCGCTGACCGGATTTCTGTGGCTGAGAACCATAGTATGGAGATTTGAGAGTCCTCAGGTGCAAGGCTCGCTCACTGCTTCCTGCTGTACCTCTTGCTGGGGTCAGCAAGGTCTGAGGAGGAGGGGGATGTGACGGTCCCAAAAATTCCCAGACCCATTACATATCAGTTGGGGAGGTTTTGGTTACACCCTCAGGAAACCCTGTCTTTACCGTCACAGAAGCTTTGCTTTATTTCAAATATAAAAAGAGGGTATGTAATATTGGACTGTTAACCTCCCAGCTTTTTGCGTCAACCAGTTGCCTCACCATGGAATATTCCGTCAGCGTGGCTCAGCGCTGGGTCAGGCCAACGTTCTCGGAAAGTGTAACGCGCATGGCTGGAATTTGCTGATACAGCTCAGCAAGTCGCTCGATGAAATCAGTTAATGCGCAGCTATAGTTTGCCTAATGCCCTGATGAATCGTTAGGCAGCAGCACTGTCTGGGGCTTGCACTGACGTCACGCGGTATAGCCGCAACGCGATTGGCTGGTTCCCCTCCACGCCCAACTCTGGGCTACGGGCAGAGCGCACTCAGTTCAGGGAGTCTAAATTCTAAATCCAATTCAATCGGTCATGTAAATTCCGCGTCGCGTCGCCTTTCCCCATAGCCTCCTCGGAAGGCTATGTCCCCCAATAACTTATTTGTGTTGTAAACTAAATTTATAGGATTATACAGCAAGTCGGAAGCTAAACACTTCACTATTGTTTTTATCATAAATTAAGTAAATAAATTATTATTCGTAGTGCATTTTCGTTGTTTCATTCGGCTACCTGTCACATATGTTACATTTTAACAAGTTACCTTTAAGCATGTTACATTTTAAAAGGTTACAATTTTACATGTTACATTTTTACATGTTACATTTTAATATGTTACATTTTAACATGTTACATTTAAGCATGTTACATTTTAAAATGTTACATTTTAACACGTTACATTTTAACATGTTACATTTTAACTTCTTATATTTCCACATGTTACATTTTTACATGTTACATTTTAACATGTTTTACGATCAAGTCATTCCCTTGCAACTGACCTGGTAGCCTCGTCTAGTATGAGGATGGATGGGATTTTCAGTAGAGCGCGGGCGATAGCTATCCTCTGTTTCTGGCCCCCAGACACGGTAACTCCTCTCTCCCCCAGAATGGTACTGTAGCCATCAGGGAACTGTCGGATAAAACTGTCAGCATTGGCCAGCCCAGCAGCCTCGTACACCTGTGACAAAGATTAATTAAATTAGTAATACCAAACTAGTGACGGGTAATACAAACAAAGTAACATAGAATCAAACCAGCTACCTTCTGATTACAGCAGTACTATAATCACTCAACCACCAAGCTGACATAAAAACTTTTACTCATACCAGTACTCATAACGTTTTTAATATGTTACATTTTAACAAGTTACCTTTAAGCATGTTACATTTTAAAAGGTTACAATTTTACATGTTACATTTTTACATGTTACATTTTAATATGTTACATTTTAACACGTTACATTTAAGCATGTTACATTTTAAAATGTTACATTTTAACACGTTACATTTTAACATGTTACATTTTAACTTCTTATATTTCCACATGTTACATTTTTACATGTTACATTTTAACATGTTTTACGATCAAGTCATTCCCTTGCAACTGACCTGGTAGCCTCGTCTAGTATGAGGATGGATGGGATTTTCAGTAGAGCGCGGGCGATAGCTATCCTCTGTTTCTGGCCCCCAGACACGGTAACTCCTCTCTCCCCCAGAATGGTACTGTAGCCATCAGGGAACTGTCGGATAAAACTGTCAGCATTGGCCAGCCCAGCAGCCTCGTACACCTGTGACAAAGATTAATTAAATTAGTAATACCAAACTAGTGACGGGTAATACAAACAAAGTAACATAGAATCAAACCAGCTACCTTCTGATTACAAGGCGAGTACAGCAGTACTATAATCACTCAACCACCAAGCTGACATAAAAATCGTCGTCGTCGTCGTCGTCGTCGTCGTCGTCGTCGTCGTCGTCGTCGTCGTCGTCTTCTACATTTTTACATTTTACATATTTACATGTTACATTTTAACATTTTTTATGATCAAGTCTTTCCCTTGCAACTGACCTGGTAGCATCGTCTAGTATGAGGATGGATGGGATTTTCAGTAGAGCGCGGGCGATAGCTATCCTCTGTTTCTGGCCCCCAGACACGGTAACTCCTCTCTCCCCCAGAATGGTACTGTAGCCATCAGGGAACTGTCGGATAAAACTGTCAGCATTGGCCAGCCCAGCAGCCTCGTACACCTGTGACAAAGATTAATTAAATTAGTAATACCAAACTAGTGACGGGTAATACAAACAAAGTAACATAGAATCAAACCAGCTACCTTCTGATTACAGCAGTACTATAATCACTCAACCACCAAGCTGACATAAAAACTTTTACTCATACCAGTACTCATAACGTTTTTAATATGTTACATTTTAACAAGTTACCTTTAAGCATGTTACATTTTAAAAGGTTACAATTTTACATGTTACATTTTTACATGTTACATTTTAATATGTTACATTTTAACATGTTACATTTAAGCATGTTACATTTTAAAATGTTACATTTTAACACGTTACATTTTAACATGTTACATTTTAACTTCTTATATTTCCACATGTTACATTTTTACATGTTACATTTTAACATGTTTTACGATCAAGTCATTCCCTTGCAACTGACCTGGTAGCCTCGTCTAGTATGAGGATGGATGGGATTTTCAGTAGAGCGCGGGCGATAGCTATCCTCTGTTTCTGGCCCCCAGACACGGTAACTCCTCTCTCCCCCAGAATGGTACTGTAGCCATCAGGGAACTGTCGGATAAAACTGTCAGCATTGGCCAGCCCAGCAGCCTCGTACACCTGTGACAAAGATTAATTAAATTAGTAATACCAAACTAGTGACGGGTAATACAAACAAAGTAACATAGAATCAAACCAGCTACCTTCTGATTACAGCAGTACTATAATCACTCAACCACCAAGCTGACATAAAAACTTTTACTCATACCAGTACTCATAACGTTTTTAATATGTTACATTTTAACAAGTTACCTTTAAGCATGTTACATTTTAAAAGGTTACAATTTTACATGTTACATTTTTACATGTTACATTTTAATATGTTACATTTTAACACGTTACATTTAAGCATGTTACATTTTAAAATGTTACATTTTAACACGTTACATTTTAACATGTTACATTTTAACTTCTTATATTTCCACATGTTACATTTTTACATGTTACATTTTAACATGTTTTACGATCAAGTCATTCCCTTGCAACTGACCTGGTAGCCTCGTCTAGTATGAGGATGGATGGGATTTTCAGTAGAGCGCGGGCGATAGCTATCCTCTGTTTCTGGCCCCCAGACACGGTAACTCCTCTCTCCCCCAGAATGGTACTGTAGCCATCAGGGAACTGTCGGATAAAACTGTCAGCATTGGCCAGCCCAGCAGCCTCGTACACCTGTGACAAAGATTAATTAAATTAGTAATACCAAACTAGTGACGGGTAATACAAACAAAGTAACATAGAATCAAACCAGCTACCTTCTGATTACAAGGCGAGTACAGCAGTACTATAATCACTCAACCACCAAGCTGACATTAAAATCGTCGTCGTCGTCGTCGTCGTCGCGTCGTCGTCGTCGTCGTCGTCGTCGTCGTCGTCGTCGTCGTCGTCGTCGTCGTCGTCGTCGTCGTCGTCGTCGTCGTCGTCGTCGTCGTCGTCGTCGTCGTCGTCGTCGTCGTCGTCGTCGTCGTCGTCGTCGTCGTCGTCGTCGTCGTCGTCGTCGTCGTCGTCGTCGTCGTCGTCGTCGTCGTCGTCGTCGTCGTCGTCGTCGTCGTCGTCGTCGTCGTCGTCGTCGTCGTCGTCGTCGTCGTCGTCGTCGTCGTCGTCGTCGTCGTCGTCGTCGTCGTCGTCGTCGTCGTCGTCGTCGTCGTCGTCGTCGTCGTCGTCGTCGTCGTCGTCGTCGTCGTCGTCGTCGTCGTCGTCGTCGTCGTCGTCGTCGTCGTCGTCGTCGTCGTCGTCGTCGTCGTCGTCGTCGTCGTCGTCGTCGTCGTCGTCGTCGTCGTCGTCGTCGTCGTCGTCGTCTTCTACATTTTTACATTTTACATATTTACATGTTACATTTTAACATTTTTTATGATCAAGTCTTTCCCTTGCAACTGACCTGGTAGCATCGTCTAGTATGAGGATGGATGGGATTTTCAGTAGAGCGCGGGCGATAGCTATCCTCTGTTTCTGGCCCCCAGACACGGTAACTCCTCTCTCCCCCAGAATGGTACTGTAGCCATCAGGGAACTGTCGGATAAAACTGTCAGCATTGGCCAGCCCAGCAGCCTCGTACACCTGTGACAAAGATTAATTAAATTAGTAATACCAAACTAGTGACGGGTAATACAAACAAAGTAACATAGAATCAAACCAGCTACCTTCTGATTACAGCAGTACTATAATCACTCAACCACCAAGCTGACATAAAAACTTTTACTCATACCAGTACTCATAACGTTTTTAATATGTTACATTTTAACAAGTTACCTTTAAGCATGTTACATTTTAAAAGGTTACAATTTTACATGTTACATTTTTACATGTTACATTTTAATATGTTACATTTTAACATGTTACATTTAAGCATGTTACATTTTAAAATGTTACATTTTAACACGTTACATTTTAACATGTTACATTTTAACTTCTTATATTTCCACATGTTACATTTTTACATGTTACATTTTAACATGTTTTACGATCAAGTCATTCCCTTGCAACTGACCTGGTAGCCTCGTCTAGTATGAGGATGGATGGGATTTTCAGTAGAGCGCGGGCGATAGCTATCCTCTGTTTCTGGCCCCCAGACACGGTAACTCCTCTCTCCCCCAGAATGGTACTGTAGCCATCAGGGAACTGTCGGATAAAACTGTCAGCATTGGCCAGCCCAGCAGCCTCGTACACCTGTGACAAAGATTAATTAAATTAGTAATACCAAACTAGTGACGGGTAATACAAACAAAGTAACATAGAATCAAACCAGCTACCTTCTGATTACAGCAGTACTATAATCACTCAACCACCAAGCTGACATAAAAACTTTTACTCATACCAGTACTCATAACGTTTTTAATATGTTACATTTTAACAAGTTACCTTTAAGCATGTTACATTTTAAAAGGTTACAATTTTACATGTTACATTTTTACATGTTACATTTTAATATGTTACATTTTAACACGTTACATTTAAGCATGTTACATTTTAAAATGTTACATTTTAACACGTTACATTTTAACATGTTACATTTTAACTTCTTATATTTCCACATGTTACATTTTTACATGTTACATTTTAACATGTTTTACGATCAAGTCATTCCCTTGCAACTGACCTGGTAGCCTCGTCTAGTATGAGGATGGATGGGATTTTCAGTAGAGCGCGGGCGATAGCTATCCTCTGTTTCTGGCCCCCAGACACGGTAACTCCTCTCTCCCCCAGAATGGTACTGTAGCCATCAGGGAACTGTCGGATAAAACTGTCAGCATTGGCCAGCCCAGCAGCCTCGTACACCTGTGACAAAGATTAATTAAATTAGTAATACCAAACTAGTGACGGGTAATACAAACAAAGTAACATAGAATCAAACCAGCTACCTTCTGATTACAAGGCGAGTACAGCAGTACTATAATCACTCAACCACCAAGCTGAC